CCTATATTAGGAGAAAAGCAGGATATAAGAAAATAAAATAAGAATAAGAATAAGCAGCAGCACCAGCTCCACCACTCAGGACAGGATTCAGTGCTGGACTTCTGCTGGTGAAACCTGTGGCATTTAATGCCCATCAGAACTGGGAAGGCAGTGTGGCTCATGGAAAACAAGTCAAAATCAACAGCAGCTGGGGCCAACTCATTCTGGTCTTGTCATAAAATCATAGAATCATAGAGTTGGAAGATAGCTCTCCTTGTTTCTTGCAATGACACTTCAGTGTGACCATTTCACTTCCAAACTGAACTGAAGAACTCTTATTTTGGTTCTGGAAACTTCCACACTATCATACCTGATTCTCTGCTGGAAGGAAAAGTATGACCATCTCTAGCTTCTCCTTTTGGAGGACCATCTATGAGATTGTTCAAGTTCTAAGAAAGTCAGGAGAGGCCCATCTCAGTGCCTGCTACCTTCCCAAATTCATTTGGTGGAAATAAGGGAGAGAGCTTTCTCGGTGGCTGCTCCCAGACTTTTGAACACCCTCCCTAGGAAAGATAGGATGGCTTCCTCCTTGCTTTCCTTCCGTTGGCAAATGAAAGCCTCCTTATTTTATCAGACTTTTTAGGAATTGACTGCAATGGGCTTTTAATAGTATGCTGTTTTGTGGTTTTCAAAAAATATTCTGTTAGTGAATTGTAACTAGTTTTAACTCTCTAGATTTGTAACTATTTTTGAAATAACATACAGTGGGCCCTTAGTAACCACTGAGGTTTGATTCCAAGACACCTTGTGGACACCAAAATCTGTGGATACTCACATCCCATTAAATACAGTGACACAGTAAAATGGTGCCCCTTATATAAAATGGCAAAATCAAGGTTTGCTCTTTGGATTTTTTTATTTTGGAGGAATATTTTCAAGCCATGAATGCTTGAATCCATGAATAAAGAATCCGTGGATATGGTGGGCCAACTGTATATCTGTATGTTTTAAATGTTTACTGATTTCAATCATTTGCAAGTTACCTTGAGCGTCATTATTGGCAAAAAGGAGGGAAATAAATACATAAATTGATGGTGGTGGTGGGAGTGGGAGTGGTGTTGGTGATGATGATGGTGGTGGTGGTGGT